CGTTTTTTCTATGCTCAATTCTATCAACCCCCGTCTATCGAAAAATTCGAGGAATTTTCTTACTTTCTTGGACGAATATCGTTAATTAGATAAAAACAGATCGAAAATACTTCACACAATTTGGAATATTGCAGTCATTTGGAAGTTTTCGAACGAGAAAGTAGCAGATGTGTGGGATGCAGAGAGATGCCAGAAGCACGCAAACACGACATAGTAGAGCTGAAGTCTTTCTATAACGTCGTGGAACGTATATACGTTGGAGAATCATATAACGGTCGTGCTCACGTCAATTGTTGAATTCTCCAGGCAAGAATGAAATCGGACTCCAAATTCCAATTATTCCCAATTTTCATCTGCTGAGTGCTTTGTGATGCCCCAGGATATAAACAGCATCGATCTCTTTCTCTCTCTCTCTCCCTCTTCCGTACGTTTCCGACTTTGCAGAAACTTAAAATTCATCGGATAAGCAAGAGAATTTTACATTTTTTTTAATACTCGGAAGGTCGAAATTAAATTATTTAATATATTTTTTCTTTTTATCTGCAAAGAAATCTTCAATTTCCCAACCGACCCTCGAAGATCGAGCCATGGTTTTTTTTTTGATTTAATCTAAAATTAAAGAATATTTACGAGGAAAAAAAAAGAAATTAAACGTTTGTAACTCGTATTTAATACTAAAAAAAACATTTTCGGAGGGGGAAGAAGCTTTAATATTTTGCCTTTATGTTTCCTTTGTAGATGTGCCATCTATTAAAAACCGAGTTAGCAAACGTTTTTGTAGGAAGAGCCCGAGGTGGTTGGTAAAGTATAAAGGAGAAAGGTGGCAGATTTCAATTCGGTTGCCTTACAATCAATTGGAAGAACTGAGAAAGGATGATGTAAAACTGCTTCCACTCCTCCCCTTTTTTCAGTTTGTTCGGGGATTGACCTCAGGGCGTTGCTGATGGAACAGAAAGAAGAACATCCTTTCTACTTCTGCTGTCTTTTCCATCTTTCTATAAAAATTCTCAAATATTAATGTTCCAAAACGCATTGAAGATTGCAGTTACTCTCTTCATCGATTTTTCTTTCTTTTTTTTCTTCTATTTTACCTGTCCCGTGTCGGGGTTAAGTCGTTATTCACTGTCACGGACGAACAGAAAGTTCTGTTGACTGAAATTTGATCCAATTTTATGGTATCGTGCAGATATTATTTTCACGATAATAAACTTTATTATTAACGTATTTGATTTACTTTAAAAAATCTTCCGGGATGAAGATCTTCGTCTTGTGTATTTTGTAATAATTAATAGAGAACGAGCATCTTTCTTTATTTTTCTTTTATTAAAGGAAGATGTAAAGGAAACGACAAGAGCAGTTTATTGTGAGAAAAATATAGAAAATAAATTGTCGTTTCTAATCAACTCATTGCTTTTCTTCCTATACAGAAAAGCCATAGTGCATCATTCTGTTTCTGTTGATTGTGTATTACATACTGTTGTTATGATCTATCTGAGAAAACCTTTATTGAGCTTCCAGGTATTCTACCAATAACCTAAGAGTGAGTGGTTTATCCGAAAACATAAACAAAAGTATTTCTATGGAATTCTAACCGAAAGCCTTAAAGTGGAAAAGAGAAAAACTTTATAAATCTGGTAGAGAAAAGTCTTTTCTGTATAAAATTCTTATATATATTTATCGAGACTTTGAATTTACATAGTTTTTGATCGATATAGCAGCAGCACGGTATTTACTTTTGTTTATAACAACTTGTACGGATCACGTGTCTCTCTATTGAGCTTTGGGAATTTCTGTGGTGTGTTGATAAGGTCTATTAATATCCTAGCGAAATGTAAAGTTGTATACGCGCTTCATCCCCCTCTGTAAGATTAAACGGGACAATGTTCAGGTTGTTTATGATGTTGCCGACCTCTTATACATCCAGCAATGTGCTGAAGTAATTTTAATCTGCTTTCAAAGAGACTGAATGGCAACAAACTTTACTGTAATTACAACTATTGTTTTCGGAATTGTTGTCGAGTTAGAATGGATGCGAGATAATAAACCTCTGCTTATAAATTCGACTAATTATTCCAATTTATATTGTTAATTTTCTAACTTCGGTTTTATTCTTTACTAACATTTTTTTCTCTCCTTAATTAAGATTGAAGAGATGAGGAATACTTTTCGCAGCAGTTAACAGCATCTGTTCGTTTCCGCATCCTTAAAAACTGAATTTTGCTTTAGTGCAAACTTAAACTGTCGAGATTTTTCTCCAATCTAATTATAAAAATTACCCAAATCTACTTTCTTGTAACGCCTCGAGCGACTTTTTTTGCAGCGTGTGTGCCACAAAATGGATGAACGATTGTGGAAACGTTAAAAAATGTGAAGATTCATCTAACGTAATGGCTTCTTCACTCTTGTAAGAGCTGCTAGAGAAACGGAGGAAGATGAAGATGCGGGAGGATAAGGATGCGGACGAGGATAAGGAACGTTAAAAAATGTGAAAATCTATCCAGTGTAATGGCTTCTTCATCCTGGTAAGAGCTGCGAGATGATGAAGATGAGTAAAGGATGGTTTCCTTCTCTTCAACGCATTCAAAGGAGAAGTTGCAACGATTTAATGAAGAATTTTGCAAATAGGAAGGCAAGAATAATGTAAACAGGATAAATGAGTGAAGATAAGATCATCATCAAGGATAAATGAATAAAGAATAATTGAAGAACGTAATGATCGAATGATAGTCACTAATAAACGTGATTAAGTATGAAGATAAGATTAAATTATCGAGATACGAAGAGTGTGTACGTGTTGCGAAGATCAGAAATTAAACATTTCGTTAGATATCAACATTATTTCTACCAAGCTTTGTATTAACATTAGGCGGTTCTTTTTCCCCTTAAGCAAATGAGGAACCACGAAAAAATTTCCAACGTCTACTCGGTATCATTCAGGAACCGATCTTGCACCTTTAACAAGAACTGGTTTGACAAGTTTCCAGATTTTCCAATGCGATAATAACGATAAGAAATACTGTATGATGTATTTTATCTCTTCCTCTTATCCAAATTTTATCTTCTTAACCTATATTCCATCCACACGTAATGTTAAAAGTATAAAAAAATAAAATATTTCGAATCTATCCTTCAACTTATCTATGAAAAATATACGTTTGTTCGCTTTCGGAAGTATTTTAAAATGCTAACAGAGTTAGTTTTGACAAAAGGATATACATCATCTCACTCGAGAAATTCGAAGAAGTGCAAGTTGGCTCCACAAAAAAAGAAGAAGAAGAAGACTTCATTCAAACAAATTTCCACTTGAAATTCAACTCATATCTAGCTTCTGATTGCATCCGAGTTGAATTCATTTCTTCTGACTTCATCTTTTATTCTCATATTATAACCATCCCGGATATTTTATGACCATTATTGATGCCTTCTCTTTCTAAATCGCAACCATTAATTGAGACAATTGCACTTGTCACTATGCTCCAATGGAAAAATTAGTTCGTGACTTATGACTAAAGAAATCTTTTTATATATATATATTTTAAAAAAAATTCCATATTTTTATCTAATATTAAGAGTTACTTAGAAGAAGATAAAGAGGATGAAAGAGAGGAGGAGGAGGAGGAGGAGGAAGGAGAGTCATTATTTGTGTTTTTATAAAGTTATAATTTATCAAGAAAAATGGAGAGGGAAGATGTTAAATTTTATTTATTATTAAATTAAACACTTTTAAGTAAAATAAAGTTTAAATAATTAAAAAAAAAGTGGAAAAAAATTACATTTTACACTCGCTTAAATTTTTCGTCACGCGTGACCTTTTCGCCGGTGTTTTACTTTATTTTTCACTTATTTTTCGAGTTTAGCGAATCCATTTTTCCTCAATAAAGATAGAAATTGTCATACATTCAACTTCTAAAATCAAAATAAATTGTATATAAACACGCAATCTTTAAAGCTGCCACGTTTGATTTCGTGACGCTCTCATTACCGAAACCGGGAATAAAATTATGAAACAAATTATCTCGTTTATTTATTATATTTTTATTATATAAAACCGATTATTTCATTCGTTAAACTCGATAGAATCCTCACAGAAGTCATCATTTATCCATAGAATCTTAAGTGATAAACGATGCTTCGGATTGAATCCAAAACTGATATATTAACGTGATTTTTCTAATTAGGAACGTTTGTGATCGATAATTTACTATTTTCTTTTAAGTAATTTTAATTCTATATTCTTAAACAAACGATAATTATAGCCGTGTGAGAAATTTAAACTGACTCGTGTATCTAAATAAAGAAACGTTTATCGATCTTCACCGTCTGATACGTAGTCACACAGAACGGAGGAGGAGGAGGAGGAGGAGGAGGTTAGATTCGTGACAACACACTACCAAATATGGCGTTTGATCTGATATACTCCTAATTACAGGCTCGTAAATCGTTTGGCTGCACCGAAAATTTGCGTTTTAAACACAATTTAGGCTCTAGAAATTTCGGTTTTGGGTGAAGTCTCATGGCTGTTATAACCGTCAATTGAAGAGTAACTTTATAAAGTTTAAATTCATTAAATAATTAAAGCATTTCTCTCCTTAACAAGTTCGTGATGTTTAAATTGATTTCGGAGTAGAATTCTACGTAACAATTAGAAGGAAATCCTTATAAATCTTATCGATTTAAATCTCGAGTATCCATCTGAATATTAATAATTTGTTTCGTTTAGAAAACTAAAATTTCATTCTGCTATTTAGACACAAATTCGATTGAAGTTTTGCCTGAATAAACATAAACTGTTATGCTTCGTAACTGTACACAATTCGTGTTAATTATGGGAATTGTTTAGATACACTCCAATAATTAAAATTTGCATACAATCGAAGTGATGCGGACCAGCTATGATGCTTCGTCTTCTCCTAATCTTTTATTATTATTATTATTATTATTATTTTATCTTTATTATCGTTTTATGAAATAAGTGATGTTGTATTTGATTTTATTTGTAGAATGTTGGAGAGGGGCAGCTGCCCATATTCTACCTATGGAGTTTGTCATACCAACATGTACTCCTGCTCAATGTGGAAAAATCCCAGAACAAGCAGGTGAGTAAATACTTTTACTTTAATAAATTTCTAATTAATTTTACTTTTATTTTATTTATTTCTTTATTCTACCTACAAATACTTATAAAAATTTCAAAAAATAACCTGTAAATTTTGTGTTTTTATAATGTATGTTACGGTATCATTGTATCTTATTTTAAACCTAGCCCACAATCCTAGAAAACATTATATTTTCAACACAAGAAGGTCGAAAGATACCTATTTAGACTATCAAAATATTAACGAAATCAATCTATTTGTACTTAAAACTATATTTATCGTTACCAAACATTTAATTCGAAACAATTCTTTTAATATTTCAACTTAGTTTACTAATTTTCATCCACTCCTGACTAAATTAAGGTTAAATCCCATTCTCTTAATAATAGATCCAGATTAGAGTTAAGTTTATGGAAAATACGAGGATTTTATGAAATATTTAACATAAAAGTGATAAATTCTGAAAAGAAAATACATTGTAAAAACTCCCAGCATCTCATCCATCAGCATCCCAATTTCTTCCATTATGTCAGCATCACTTTATCCTTGAATTTCTATAACATTTTAATCAGAAAATTGAACAGTAAATCCTAGAACATCTTCCAATTTAAACGTCTATCGCTTTTCTAGATACACGAAACTCATTTCCAAGTGAAACAAATCACAAACCGATTCAAGAAAAGTAATAATTTCTGGAAGGAGGGACGTGAACTTTATACAGTACACATCACATATATATATATAGTTGCTTCTTCTTCTTTTCCTATTGGATTTTCTTCTTATAAACAGAAAGAGCGAGGTATATTTTTGAAGAATACTCTTCCGATATTCATATTTCGCAATAAACTTGGGCTCTCACCTCATCTTTCTGGTGTCGTTTCTGTGTTATAAATGAATATCATTTCTACCTCCAAGCAAGAACCTATCACAGACTCCATACAAATACATATTGAGCATTCGGACATGGCCGTTGAGTTACGATCCCATTGCAACTGTATCGTTTTTCATTTCTGTGCATCTACGGCGTCAAGTGATGCTTTATCGATGTCATATTTCACTGTATTTCTTTCCATACAGTTCGCCCCCATCTAAAAATACGATAAGTGAATATACATCTGAAAAATTGGAAAGTGCCAAAAAAAAGAGGAGCAAGAAGAAGAAGAAGAAGAAGAAAGCGCAATGATCTTTCCGCTGATCATCGTGTCAAAATTGAATATTCGATTGTATAATTCTTACAATTTTCTGTGTTCGCTCGTGGGAATTTATTTATCTTATCCGCTGCAAATGCCACGAGGAAGTTTTACTTATATCTTAAGAGTAAGCCTGTTTTTTTCCTATTTTACAAGGAATTTTTGTACGATGTAATTAACATTCTGACTTATAGTTAACGTTTGATAAGCCCTTTCTACGGTAGGTCCTTTTGATTAACGAAAGTAAGAAATTTATACTTTATTTTGGATAGAATACGCATCGAATGGAAGACAAGAAGATTAGAAGAAGGCTACATAAATAGCTTTCTAGGCTACTTATATTCTAAGTACGTAATTATATATTATTATTGTGTAGAAAATTCCGCATTATTAAAGATATAATTAATATTTACGGCTCGAATCGGGCGACAAATTTCATAGAACTAGATAGAAATGTTCATTAGTTGTTTTTGTTAAAGGCCGAACATTATTATCCGCATCCCGGAGAGGAGAGACGACATTTAATTTTCGATGCTGACATTGTCTTGAGAGAGAGAGGTTTCGGGGATGCGCATTGTATCGAGGAATGTATTGAAAAATCTCTTTTAAAATAAACGACGAAGACAAATCGCACGCAGCTAATTAAAAACATCATCTCGGTGGCCAAGTATTATATTTAGCAATCATTAAAATGTAGAAGGAAAGAAGGTCGATTGCTAGCAAAACTGCTTTTCCTACGCTCCCTAACGATAATTTCTCCTTCTTCTTCTTCTCTTTTCTCTTCCTCTTCTCGCTCCTCCGCATCTTCACTTTTACTTTCTCCTTTTCCCTTTTGCCGTATTGATTGGCAAAATATTTTCATTTGGACGAAAGACATTGTCTCTGTCTCTCCTCTGTCCCGGAGTGGAACCATAATGGTCGACGACTGATTTCAAAATCAATATGTAAGGGATTGTTAAGAGTCGGATGGTAGACTTTTGTCTCGGTTCGAGATTCTTCTTCCACTTTAACCGATACGCACTTCGATCGATAAATGTTCGGTAATTTTGTCTCGCACTTTGTTTTTGGCCTCTTGTTGGCCGACAAAATTGACAGAGTTTATTTTACTGTAGATTAAATTGTAGCTCCTTGCTTCTTGCTCTTAAACCGCTTGTTGTGTTTCTTTAATCTCACCTGCCACTTCCTAAAACTAGTAATTGATTTTTTTGCTACAATTAAAAACTTTCCAACTTTTTCCTTTATTTCTCCTTCTTCCTACCATCTTGTCGAGTGTTCTCGTGTATTATATAGATAATAAACTTAATTTTACCCCAGTAATTTATGGTTGAAATTAAATTTCAATGCTAAATCTCTCGAAATTTTGAGTACTACAACGTGTTTTTTCCTTTCTCTCTTTACACTCTTTGAATATCGTTTTAAACACTAAAAAGTTACATTTTACTATGAAATTAGCTTCAAAATGTGCCTTAAAAAATAAGCTTTTCTCGATTAATTATTTTTAATAAAGGTACGCTACCTTTAAGAACTTTAGCGTGTTTAATTTCAAACCGTTTAACCTTATATTTATCTTCTCATTTTTCTATAAAATAAACGACTGAAATTTAACTGCTTAAAAATAATCATTTCCGGTAGATTCTCTTCAACACATTAAAATTATTGTACGCCTTATTTAATAAGTGACAACGTTATTCTCTGCTAGAGAACAAACCTATTCATTACGGGAGCCGTTTACTCGAATTTTTTTTACCAATTTTATGCCCGATAAAAATACCGGGTGCATAAATTCGAAGGCCGAGACGTTTCTATGCTTTCTTACCATTCACCTGCGCAATTTTAATGTATTTATTCTTAAAGCAGTGAAGCGAAATAACTCGCAATGACAATAAATTGGAAACTTGTACACGACGATGCTATTCTCGGAGTGCGATAGAGTAAAGTAATGGAGTCTTATGGCTCTTTATATATCAAGAAAATTTGCCCTGAGCCACCTTATATATAAATATATATTCTTTCTTTCTTACACGACGTCTATTCGGAAGAAGAAGAAGAAGATGAAGAGGAGGAGGAGGAGAAGGAGGAGGAAGGAGTGATTCTTTCTAGTGTCTTGCAGGAAAGTCACCTTCCAAAGGGGTGGGGGAAATGATTTCTACTTCTCTATTCGCATCTTCCGTCTTGTATAACTGGAAAATGTCATCCGAGTCGTTTGGCTCCGGGTCTTTCTTTATTCGACACTTTACAACATTCCAACAATTTCTATCGAAATTACAAGAAAATGTACTTTTTCTCTATGGCGGAATTAAATACAATATGAAAATGGCACGGAGCAAAATTGAAAAACGGAATATAACTCATTATTTTTCTTTTACTTTCGACTCCATTATTACTTTTACTAAGCGAGCGAAACTATTTAGAAGTCGTTTAGATTGCATTAAGAAAATTTTGTGTTGGGTATAAACCTTAAATCAGTTTGTTCCGATCGATTGTGGTTGATTCAGTGTTTTGGCTGAGGGCATGAATGAAGTAAAGAAGAAGAAAATTTTCCTTTTCTTCTTCTTTTCTCTCACAAAGAATATGTTGAGTTCTTTCAACAAATGTTACCTTTCCACTTCTAAATTATTTATACTTTTAAAACACGAAAACTCATTAGAGAAAAAGCAAACTTTTCTTAAAACAAACGGATCGATAATAATAAAAATTATATAATTTTACAAGTCTACATGAAATTTCGATCTATATTTTGAAGGATATTTTATATTTCTTTTACTAAAAACAAAGATAAAAATCGATAGTTCTACTTTTTTTTTTAAAGTATCGTCGAGGATCTACTCTTAAAAATTTTTAAGATGCGGATCGACTCATCCATTTTCTTTGCGTGCAAACGTATGAGCATCCCTTGTATACGAAACAACATAAGCATATGTTTTGAATGTAGTGGGATGTCGTACGCCATTTTTCTTTACCATTAACGCTTACTAGAACGTCTTACACTATTCCTTCTATCGAACTAAAGAAGAGAAATTCCCTAAGGTGATAATTTTCTGTAACACAACTCTTTCTAAAATAATGAAGCTAAGTTTCTTCAACTTTGATCGTTTATCTATCGAATTGTTTTGTTTCTCTTGAAAAATTTCTATTTTCTAAATTATATTTCAACCTATTTTACAACTTTTCTTCTATTTTTTTTTTTTATCGAATTTTCACATTATTTTTATATTATAACAGTTGTGGATCGTTACAGTGCATTCTTCCAGTTGTTAAATCATATATAAAATCTTCTTGTATCTTAGAAACTGGAAAAAATATATGAAAAAAATCTTCTAGAAACAGAAGAGAATAAAAAATCTTTCCTTTTCTCAATTCAAAATTTAAATAAATATCTTCTACAACTTTAAAAAATTCTTTAAATTATTTAATAATTTAATATAGAGTTATATTTACGTGAGTATAACCCTCGAATTATCTACAAACAAAAGCCAATTTAAAGAGAGTGCACGAAAAAATACCGCATATAAAAATAATTATAATTAAAAAAAATATAGAATTTATTAACACTTTATACGACACAAATTCGATTGAAG